GTGTGATTTAAGAGCAGTGGGAAGGACTACAGATGCTGCAGGGGGCTGGTGGGTGTGCGTTATCAGCGTTGTGCCAGCGTGACAGTCCACATGACTGCCCAAACTGGATTAGTCATTGCAGTGCGTGAAGCTTCTTATTTTCTCTTCTAATGCCAAGCAGGAGAATGTAAATATCACTCCTCAGCAGGCTCCCTCTATCTTTCGCTTCCGTCTGTCTGTGTTTTTCTGTCCGTTCTCTCCTTCACTGACTCATTAAATTGCTTCAGCCAGGGTTGGGCTGAATTCTGACCATGAGAACTGGCTCGTTTTCAATTCACAGAATGGCATTTGAATGTAATTGAATTGGCCACATCCCACAGGAAGTTGAATCGTAATGACAGGAAGAGGAATTTGTTGAATTTTAAATGATATGTGACAGCATCTGCAATTGTGTAACTTCATGAAAATGAATGTTAGTGTCAAATTTTGTAACATGATCACAATTTAAAATAACTTCTTGAATAAATGAGAGCATTCCGGGAAATTAATTGCTCTTCCACAATGATTGATCAAATTAAAGTTTTTAAAGATGTAATTAAATACTTTTGAATTAAATTCCTGTATAAAGTGACATTTCAGTATTAATTAGGCTATTTCTATCATTTAAAAAAAAAAAGTAGAATAAACTAGTTTTCTTTGCACATCAGGTCCCAGATGGGCATCCTGGAATCTTGGAATCTTCATTTGTATCCGCTGTGCGGGAATCCATCGGAATCTTGGCGTGCACATATCACGAGTTAAATCCATAAACCTGGACCAGTGGACTCATGAGCAGATACAGGTAAGCTTTATGGATCAAGGTTTCCAGTAGAAAGGGACGCATTTATGTGTATATGGCTGATTGATTTACATGTGTTTGTGTTGTGCTCAGTCTGTTCAGGAGATGGGGAATGCCAAAGCTCGGCGACTATACGAGGCCTTTTTACCAAAGTGCTTCCAGCGCCCAGAGACAGACCAGTATCCTTTAGCGCTTATATACAGTATGTGTGTGCAATGTTTAAGCTTCTTCTCCCCTCATGTTAAAGGTTTCCTTAAGCTACACCTTACAGAGCTGCTGAGATTTTTATCCGTGACAAATATGATAAGAAGAAATACATGGATAAATGCATTGACATCCAGTCCTTCAGGGTGAGTCCTGAAATGTTGGAATTAAAAATTGTCATTGTAATTTTATCTTTTACTTTGATTTTGTAAAATAATAAAAAATTTATTTTCTTTACATTGTCAGAAAGAAAAGAGTGAGGCAGTGACGAAAGAGGCTCCTGTTGTTTTTGAAAAGATGAAGCTGGTGGGTTTCTGCATTTGTGAAATTTTTATTTTTTTAATTTTATTATTTTTATTATAATCAATTATACAAATAATAAATAATATTGTAATAAAGAAATACATGTAATTCTACATCTTGATTTAATGTGCTTTTTTAATCTTTCTAATTTAGATTAGAATTGAATTATTTTAATATTAATAATAATAAATACTTTGTAGTCATATATTGAGGCCCTGGCCCCCTGTTTTAGAGCCACTAGTTTATAGACATAAAACCTGGAAGATAATTTTTTGAGCCATGCGTTCCTTCTGGAATTCCTATTGGGTTTTTAGAATAGCAGTTTTTGATTTCCGAGTAAAATTGTGGTTAATAATACTTGAAGAGACTTTCATGCTTTGTTCTAACCATATACTGCATACCCATATACATAAACTGAACACAATCACAAAACATTTTCATTTTAAAATCACATTAGAAATTTCTAAAGGAGCCTTCCAAGTTGACCTTCAAATTGACGCCTTGACTGAACAACTCTCATTTAAATAACAAAATGGTGTTTCCATCATTAACACATGATAATGTTTGTTTGTCTTTTAGAAAAAAGATGAGTCACAACAATTCAAAAACAGTCCAAAGCAGTCACAGTCAGTTAATGACTTACTAGGACTAGGTAAGAAGCTAACAGACACACCATACACATCAGTACAATCACAATATGGATGCTTGATGTTGAAACTTTCTTTCTCAGACGCCCCTGCTCCTCAAGCTACCGTGTCCAATGGCAAACCAAGCACTGAACTCAGTCCCGCCCTCGACCAATTTAGCTCTCTGCCTGCTGCCGTCAGCAGCTCAAACTCCTCCAGGAGCACGGTAAAGATTTTCATACAGCCCAGAGTTTTCACTTCATTCTCACTGTCCTTTGACTTTCATGGATCCATGTTTTGAGTGATTAATGCATGTAATGCAATCAAGTAGTTTAAGTGTTTTTTTTTCCTCCACTGTAGCCTAGCTCAGGGTCCATGCCCACTGGACGGGTAGCAGCATCAGTGCCCGAAAACCTCAGCCTGTTTCTTGATCCCCCCTCCAAAAGTGAGGACAGCGGAAAAAAGATGTCTAAGGACTCAATCCTGTCCCTGTATGGCAGTAAAGCACCACAAACAAACATGGCTGCTCATGGTGAGATTAGTTTCAGGATGAAGGCATATTTGAAATGGTTTCTGTCGCTTTGTGCTGTTTATGCATGTTTATCTGTTTCTGTTTTAGCTGGCATGTACATGGGAGCAGCCCAGATGGGCTATGTCCCTGCTGCAGGATACGGCCAATACCAGGCCCTGGGTGCCCAGCAGGGCATGATGGGGCCTATGATGGCTCCACAGATGAACATAGTGGGACAGGCAGGTGTCATGCCGCACACCGGAGTGGCAGCTGCGCCTCCGTACATGGCAGGGGTGCAGGGGGGCGTAATGGGAATGCAGAACGGGATGATGGGAAGCATGGCAGCAGTTCCTCAGCAGGCATATGGAACACAGCAGGCCCAACAGCTGCAGTGGAACATCAGCCAGGTAACAAGCACTGAAATCACAATTACCATGCTGACTTGAAACAGCAAATATTTTATGCTTTGTTCACAGTGATAGCCCAAAACATTTTTATGTATGTTTAACTCCAATCCATTTTTGAGTTTGTTACTGCAAAAACACACGTTATAAAGAGTTTCAAATTTCAAATTAAAATTCTATCATCATTTACGCACCCTCATGTTGTTCCAATCATGTATTACATTGAAATGCATTACAAATGCATTGAATTGACAGTAAAGACATTTATAATGTTACAAAATGTTGCTGTTCTTTTCAACTTTCTATTCATATTCCTGACAAAAATGTTAGTTTACACAAAAACATTAAAAGCAGAACTTTTTCAACATTGATAATATGAAATGTTTATTGAGCACAGCTTTGCCATCACAGGGAATGACTTACATTATTATTATTATTTTTTAATATATTAAAATACACAGCAATTTTAAATTGTAATAATATTCCACAAAATAATACTGTTTTTTTTACTGTATTTATGATTATGATAATTGCAGCCTTGGTGAGCACGAGACTTCTATCAAAAATGTTTTAAAAAAATGATATCAACCCCAAACTTTTGAACATTATTGTTCTTACTCTTATAAATGTTAACATAATATTTAAGTTAATAGTAATTTCAATTTCATCTGTTCCTCAAATGAAGCTGTTGTGTGGCTGATGATGATGCAGATGTTCTTTTACGATGCATTTATGATACTTTTTTCACTCTTTTTGAAGCTTGAATGCTTCTTTTCTTTGTCTCCTAGTTCCCTGTGGAACATGAGGCTGTGACAGTTTGCTTCCTTGAAAGCTTCAGTCCCCAATTAATTGTTCTGTATTGCCAAAAACAACTGGTATAAGGTTTCTCTTTTTGTGTTCCACTTAAAAAAAAAGAAAAAGTCACAGGTTTGGAACAACATGAGGGAAAACGAAATGAAATCACCAAATGGCAGTGTCATTGTTGTTTTCTGTTAATTGCCTGTAATAACCATTTCTGTTGTGTCTCTCACAGATGACTCAACACATGGCAGGAATGAATTTCTACGGTGCCAGTAACATGATGGGATACGGGCAGCCCATGGACGGGGCGGCTGCTCCCGGTTCAAATCCAATGCTCGGGTCGCACGTGTGGAAGTGATGTCATAGAGAGAAAGAGAGTGGGACAGCGTGTCTGAATTGGTTGGGCTCGGTTGGCGCCACGACTGACTGACAGCAGAAGGGGAACAGATTGTAGGAGCAAACACTTTGGGGAGTTGATTAGATGATCGCAACCGAAGCAAAGTCTCTACCTCCCTCATTCTCAGACCCAGATTCTCATGCTTGCCTTCAAACAGTAACATACTCAGAGAGAGAATAGAAGTGTCATTCGCGAGGTAGAGTGTGTATTCACTTTTCAGCCGAATGTCAGCTTTGATGTTCCCAGATGATGTGTTTTTGCTACATCCGCTTGAAGATTTGGTTTTCTGTTCTCTCTTTGATCAGTGTTAAGATGCGATCACATTTACCGTTTCTAGGCGAATTTTCACAGGCAAAATCTGGTTAGGAATCTGGAATTTTTTTGCGTGAGGGAGATTGGTTTCCCCTCGCAGATTTTGCTTGTGAATTTGCCACGTTGACCAACAGAAACCTGCTTGGTGTGACTTTTGTGTGAGCTGTGCTTCATACTTCACTGTTGACAATATACAATTACCCTTTTTGACCCACAGCATTTCGCCAAAATGACGCTAATGCGACAGCATCTTTAGTTTCAGTTAACAAAGCTTGTTTCATTTCTGAAAGACTTTTATCATATAGATATATATGTAACAGTCTATGTCTCATCATAAGCATGTTTGCAGTCATAAATGAACAGCTAGAAGCAATTTTAGTTATTAAAGATCTTAAACTTTGATACTGCTGGGGAAAATATCCATTTTGTGTCTGTGCTATCAGGTTCTGCAATGATACTCTTGTATTGTCGTCTTTCTAACGCACAGGGTACAGCTAAGCCACTTTGACTTTGCTTTCTGTCACATTCGCTCTCAACTCAGGAGAAATAAAGACTTGGGAGGATGAGGGTTCTCACATCCATCTCATAGCAGGACATTCACATTCAGCCAAAGATTTATTAATGCTCAGCAGTCGGCACAGATCTTTGGAACGATACGTTCTAGATGGATCCATGCTGCTGTTTGTCGTTTCAGAGCATTGCGGTTTGACCTCAAGAGTGTAGTGGCACCATTGATTGTATTGTGCACTGCTTTTCTCCTCATTACTGAGTGCAGGGTCACCGCTGGCGGAGAGAACGAAATTTTGGGACACTGAGGCTGCAGTTTGGACCAAGACCAAATGAATGTTTCACTCTGACTGCTGCCCGGAGAGCAGAGTTTGCCATGGCCACTGTGTGAAGTTCATTCAAAGCAGTCAGCTTGGGGTTTTATTGCGTGCTGTGTGTTTGAGCCTAACGTCTGCTTCTACACTCTAAAAAATGCTGGGTTAAATTCAACCCAGTGCTGGGTAAAATAGGGACAAACCCAGCAATTGGGCTGTTTTGACCCAGCGGTTGGGTTAAATGTTTAACCCAACCTTCTGGGTAGTAACCCAACCGCTGGGTCAAAACAACCCAATTGCTGGGTTTGTCCCTATTTTACCCAGCACTGGGTTGTATTTAACCCAGCATTTTTTAGAGTGTAAAGTAACCAAATGAGATGAGGTTCACTCTTGATCTTATTTTAAACTAGAGCATTTGAAAAGAAGAAGCTAGGACCCCTTTAAAACTGCTGACAAACAGCCTAAGATGGTTTGTTGGTCTGGTTTACTGGTTTCAGACAGGTTTTAGGCACTTACGGCAACTAGCCTGGCTGGGATACCAACAAGACCAGAAATCTATCTTAGACTGGTTTGTGTATTTATTAATTTTTTTTCAGGGTTAAGCAGTTGTACATGCATTAAACATGTCTGTGCTTTTGTGTTTAATTTTTTAGGTCATAGCCATAGAGACTCAAAATGTTCTACCCAGGAAGCATTTTTTTCCGCTCAATGACAGTGTATATGACCGTGATTTGTAAAAGAGTTCATTGCGCTAGGCTTCTCAACATTCTACAATATTTGGTTGCTGTTTTTTACTGTAGACCTGAATGTGAAGAATTGTTTGCTAATATTATTACTTATGCTTTTTATACCTTGGTGAATATGTGGTCTGAAATGACACTGTCATTGTGGTCTTGCACATCACTGCCCTCTACTGGCCAATAAGTGATCATCAGTGATGTACAGTGGTGTTTGTATCACATCATTTGTTGCTGAATGTTTTTTTTATTGTGCAAAAAGTTTAAATTTTAATCTGCACTGCATTTTTTAGGTTTTGTATGTTTGGTTTGTTTATTCTGATTAAATGGGACCATTCCTATCTCATAATTAGGCACACGTGAACCATGTTTGTGATATAATGTGACATAACCCTCTAAATATGGTCCAAGGTTTTATCTTTAATTTAAAACTATTGTTATAATGGCACTTTACCATAGCAGCTTGTATGCATGAATCGTTCATTGAGAAAGTTTGATTAGACAACATTCAATTTGTGTGCATGCTAGACATTCCAAAACAGCAATCATTGGACGTTCAAACTGACGTCATACTGTATCAGTGGGCTGAAAAGTATTGCTGCTGATTGGATTCATCTGCTTTCAACCTTTCACTTGATTGTATCTGTCCGGGTTTGAGTGATTTGGATCAGGTCATTTAACGAATGTTGTAGTGCTCTATGTAAAGCAATATGGGGTCCTGTTTAAAATTTGATTTACAATATTGGCACATAGGTAATCTGTAGAGAAGCAATCATTCTAGAGGTCTTTTACCAAATGCAACTGCTACGTATACAGTGCACATTTCATTCAACACCTAAAATAAATGCTTTTGTTTTAAGCTAGAGGTAAATGTTTAAACCTCTATTGATGTGTTCTCAGTATGCATCAAATGTTTCCTTTTTGGAATATGGAGGGCTTGTTTTTTTACACACGCTTGCAGACTCAAGGAAGAGACTCCGACAGCTGTGTAATGGTTTTCATCGCTCCTTTTGGTGAAACGGTGCTAAAACATCATCTGCCCACATTACTTTGTGGAGGTCTTGAACATTCTTCCTCTGTGAACTCTCACATGAGAGGATGTAACGTCATGTGAGTGTCTGTTATGCTGAAGTGATCCCATCATTGTGGCTCACAGTAAATGTGTAGATGCAGTATGTGGGTTACTTGCAAAGTTTGTATTTAAGTTCCTTTTCAGAAATGCATTACAAAGGCTTGAATGTGAAATAAGAAATAAACATCTTGACTGCAATTAAGCATTGTGATGTGATGTGATTATATATGGTGCATTTTCTTTAGTGGCACAAATGCAATGAATAAAATAATCATCCACACACTAGAATAAAACTCTTTGGGAGGTGTAGAAATTCTTTACAAATGAGGGTTGTGCAGCTTTATATGCATTGAAATGTATTTTATTTTCAATTTGCATATACTCATTCAACTTTTTATGTTATAATGTTAATTAGTGAATGAAGTGTTTTAGTAGAAGCAGCGATTCAACAACGGTTGTTGTAGCTGCCTGTGTGGAGAATATGTACCTGATTCGTCTATGGACAGAAGTACTGGGGCAGCCCCTTCTAATGAACAGGTTTGATTACTTTAGTAATTTCCATGAGTACAAATCTCGAAATCAAATCTAATGTTAAAGCATATAATGACATTCTAGGGAACTGTGTGCTTTTAATTTTATAGCAACAGTTTGGACCGGACCCTTTTTTTTTAATTCTAACATGACAATGCCTCTGTAAGGCAAGGTTCAAAAAGAAATGATTGTGGAAGAATTTGACTGGTCTGCAGAAAGCCAAGTCCTAGTCCCTCTGGTGTGACTTTAGGGGCTGTTTGTTTACACCTGGTCACTTCACGCGTTTTGTCTGATCGGATAGCTATCCGATCGTGAAAAGACCAGGTGTAAACAGGCCCTAAATGCAGACCTTGAGCCAAAAACTCGTCACCCATGACTTGTACAAAACTGATGCAACAGAGATGGAAATACAATTTTTAAATACATAAATTATGTTTCCATCTTTGTAATGTAGTAATTTTCCAGGACATTATCCGTTATCCATTATCCATTATCCATTGTAACCCTTTAACCCGAAGCACAAAATACAATGCGTAATTTAAAATGCAGGTAAAATCCTGTGAATTCTTTTCTTAGAGTGTAGCATACTGACTACTAATACACTGCTTAAAACTAATTGTT